ACACGGGGGTCCTTTGATCTCAGGGCCTTGCTCCTGACCCTCTCCAGGGCGGAAGAGCTGCAAATCCCAAGGCAGAAGGAGGGTGATCTGTCAGCCAAAGGCAGACAAACGGCTTCAGAAAAGATTTCTGCAACCTAACTGAGAAGGATTTCCAATCTCCCGGGGAGAAGAGCAGGAACTCACAGCCAACAATACCTGACAGTGCCCTGCAGCCACAGCTCAGCTCACGGACAGACTGGCAATTCCACCATCTAAAAGGAAACAAGACCAAGGAAATGGTGATTTCTTTGGCTTTCAAGTTATTTTCAGTTCTTAAAACAGAAGCAACACTTGCTTTGGAATTGTGTTGGGTGAACAATTGGCAGTGGGCACACGCCAGGGCAATAGTGCTGCTTTCACTGATGCTCTCTGGGGCAGGAGCAGCTGAGCTCCTGAGTTCAGTTCCTGCCCAAGGTCTGACCCCAAAATGATCCCCTCCTCTCCACTGCTGATCACCTCCACATTTGCATTCACTGACCTGCAGAGAATCAAACTCCTTTTTAAGCCCCAAAACCCGCCTGGGCAGCCACAACTGATCACCTCTTTTAATTTTTAAGACAAGATCTTCATTCTCTCTCCCAGAGATCCCCTCAGATTTAACCCCTAAACTTTTCTCTTCCTGCACACCTCTGATTAACTCATTTTTACCTCCAAAGGTTCATTTTCTATCCTTGAGAGTTTCTCAAGTTTTACCCCCAAAGCTTTCCTTACCTGCCCAGAGCTGATGGCCTCACATTACCTCTCTCGGGTCGTTCCCTCCCCTACAAATAACATTCAGTTTTACCCCCACACTTTTCCTTCCTCTACATTTCCCATTTTAGCTTTGTTAACCCATAACTGGGGACACAGGGGGGTCCCTTTGATCTCAGGGCCTTGCTCCTGACCCTCTCCAGGGCGGAAGAGCTGCAAATCCCAAGGCAGAAGGAGGGTGATCTGTCAGCCAAAGGCAGACAAACGGCTTCAGAAAAGATTTCTGCAACCTAACTGAGAAGGATTTCCAATCTCCCGGGGAGAAGAGCAGGAACTCACAGCCAACAATACCTGACAGTGCCCTGCAGCCACAGCTCAGCTCACGGACAGACTGGCAATTCCACCATCTAAAAGGAAACAAGACCAAGGAAATGGTGATTTCTTTGGCTTTCAAGTTATTTTCAGTTCTTAAAACAGAAGCAACACTTGCTTTGGAATTGTGTTGGGTGAACAATTGGCAGTGGGCACACGCCAGGGCAATAGTGCTGCTTTCACTGATGCTCTCTGGGGCAGGAGCAGCTGAGCTCCTGAGTTCAGTTCCTGCCCAAGGTCTGACCCCAAAATGATCCCCTCCTCTCCACTGCTGATCACCTCCACATTTGCATTCACTGACCTGCAGAGAATCAAACTCCTTTTTAAGCCCCAAAACCCGCCTGGGCAGCCACAACTGATCACCTCTTTTAATTTTTAAGACAAGATCTTCATTCTCTCTCCCAGAGATCCCCTCAGATTTAACCCCTAAACTTTTCTCTTCCTGCACACCTCTGATTAACTCATTTTTACCTCCAAAGGTTCATTTTCTATCCTTGAGAGTCAAGTTTACTCCCCCAAAGTTTCTCTTACCTGCCCAGAGCTGATGGCCTCACATTACCTCTCCGGTCGTTTCCTCTCCTACAAATAACATTCAGTTTTACCCCCACACTTTTCCTTCCTCTACATTTCCCATTTTAGCTTTGTTAACCCATAACTGGGGACACAGGGGGGTCTGATTGGCCTTGTTCTGACTTTCCAGGGCGGAAGAGGTAAATCCTTGCTGCAGAAGGAGGGTGATCTGGTTGCAGACAAAATGGCCTCAGAAAAGATTTCTTCAACCTAACTGAGAAGGATTTCCAATCTCCCGGGGAGAAGAGCAGGAACTCACAGCCAACAATACCTGACAGTGCCCTGCAGCCACAGCTCAGCTCACGGACAGACTGGCAATTCCACCATCTAAAAGGAAACAAGACCAAGGAAATGGTGATTTCTTTGGCTTTCAAGTTATTTTCAGTTCTTAAAACAGAAGCAACACTTGCTTTGGAATTGTGTTGGGTGAACAATTGGCAGTGGGCACACGCCAGGGCAATAGTGCTGCTTTCACTGATGTCAGGCAGGAGCAGCTGAGGCCTTCTGAGTTCAGTTCTGCCTAAGGTCTGACCCCAAAATGATCCCCTCTCCTCCTCCACTGCTGATCACTCCACATTTGCATTCACGACCCAGAGAATCAAACTCCTTTTAAGCCCCCAAACCCGCCTCTGGGCAGCCACAACTGATCACCTCTTTTAATTTTTAAGACAAGATCTTCATTCTCTCTCCCAGAGATCCCCTCAGATTTAACCCCTAAACTTTTCTCTTCCTGCACACCTCTGATTAACTCATTTTTACCTCCAAAGGTTCATTTTCTAATCCTTGAGAAGCTTCTCAAGTGACCCCCAAAGCTTTCCTTACCCGCTCCAGAGCTGAGAATTCACATTACCTCTCTCTCGGTCGCAGCCTCTCCTACAAACATCATTCAGTTTTACCCCCACACTTTTCCTTCCTCTACATTTCCCATTTTAGCTTTGTTAACCCATAACTGGGGACACAGGGGAGTCCCTTTGATCTCAGGGCCTGTTCTGACCCTCTCCAGGGCGGAACAGCTGCAAAATCCCAAGGCAGTTGAGGGTGATCTGTCAGCCAGCAGACAACGGCTTCAGAAAAGATTTCTGCAACCTAACTGAGAAGGATTTCCAATCTCCCGGGAGAAGAGCAGGAACTCACAGCCAACAATACCTGACAGTGCCCTGCAGCCACAGCTCAGCTCACGGACAGACTGGCAATTCCACCATCTAAAAGGAAACAAGACCAAGGAAATGGTGATTTCTTTGGCTTTCAAGTTATTTTCAGTTCTTAAAACAGAAGCAACACTTGCTTTGGAATTGTGTTGGGTGAACAATTGGCAGTGGGCACACGCCAGGGCAATAGTGCTGATTTCACTGATGCTCTCTGGGGCAGGAGCAGCTGAGCTCCTGAGTTCAGTTCCTGCCCAAGGTCTGACCCCAAAATGATCCCCTCCTCTCCACTGCTGATCACCTCCACATTTGCATTCACTGACCTGCAGAGAATCAAACTCCTTTTAAGCCCCCAAACCCGCCTGGGCAGCCACAACTGATCACCTCTTTTAATTTTTAAGACAAGATCTTCATTCTCTCTCCCAGAGATCCCTCAGATTTAACCCCTAAACTTTTCTCTTCCTGCACACCTCTGATTAACTCATTTTTACCTCCAAAGGTTCATTTTCTATCCTTGAGAGTTTCTCAAGTTTTACCCCCAAAGCTTTCCTTACCTGCCCAGAGCTGATGGCCCTTTCACATTATTTCTCGGTCGCTTCCCTCTCTCCCCTACAGTCAAATATTCAGTTTTACCTCCCCCACACTTTTCCTCTTCCTCTACATTTCCCATTTTAGTTTCTTCTTTGTTAACCCATAACTGTGGGACACAGGGGGTCCCTTTGACAGGCCTGCTCCTGAATCTCCTCCAGGGCGGAAGAGCTAAAAATCCTGCGCAGAAGGAGGGTGATCTGTCAGTCAAAGGTGACAAACGCTTCAGAAAGATTTCTGCAACCTAACTGAGAAGGATTCCACCTCCCGGGAGCAGCATAGAACTCACAGCCAACACACTGACACAGTGCCCTGCAGCCACAGCTCAGCTGCTCACGGACAGACTGGCAATCCCACTATCTAAAGTGAAACAGACCAAGGAATGGTGATTTCTTTGGCTTTCTGCTATTTTAAGCTCTTAAAACAGAAGCAACACTTGCTGGAATTGTGTTGCGAACAATTGGCAGTGGCACACTTAGCAATAGTGCTGCTTTCACTGATGTTTTCAGCAGGAGCTGAGTCTTCTGGACAGTTCCTGCCCTAGGTCTGACCCCAAAATGATCCCCTCCTCTCCACTGCTGATCACCTCCACATTTGCATTCACTGACCTGCAGAGAATCAAACTCCTTTTTAAGCCCCAAAACCCGCCTGGGCAGCCACAACTGATCACCTCTTTTAATTTTTAAGACAAGATCTTCATTCTCTCTCCCAGAGATCCCCTCAGATTTAACCCCTAAACTTTTCTCTTCCTGCACACCTCTGATTAACTCATTTTTACCTCCAAAGGTTCATTTTCTATCCTTGAGAGTTTCTCAAGTTTTACCCCCAAAGCTTTCCTTACCTGCCCAGAGCTGATGGCCTCACATTACCTCTCTCGGGTCGTTCCCTCCCCTACAAATAACATTCAGTTTTACCCCCACACTTTTCCTTCCTCTACATTTCCCATTTTAGCTTTGTTAACCCATAACTGGGGACACAGGGGGTCCCTTTGATCTCAGGGCCTTGCTCCTGACCCTCTCCAGGTGGAACAGCTGCAATCCCAGGGCAGAAAAGAGGAGATCGATCGGGCAAAGGCTTCAGAAAGATTTCTGCAACCTCACCGAGAAGGATTTCCAACCTCCTCGGGAGAAGAGCAGGAACTCACAGCCAACAATACCTGACAGTGCCCTGCAGCCACAGCTCAGCTCACGGACAGACTGGCAATTCCACCATCTAAAAGGAAACAAGACCAAGGAAATGGTGATTTCTTTGGCTTTCAAGTTATTTTCAGTTCTTAAAACAGAAGCAACACTTGCTTTGGAATTGTGTTGGGTGAACAATTGGCAGTGGGCACACACCAGGGCAATAGTGCTGCTTTCACTGATGCTCTCTGGGGCAGGAGCAGCTGAGCTCCTGAGTTCAGTTCCTGCCCAAGGTCTGACCCCAAAATGATCCCCTCCTCTCCACTGCTGATCACCTCCACATTTGCATTCACTGACCTGCAGAGAATCAAACTCCTTTTTAAGCCCCAAAACCCGCCTGGGCAGCCACAACTGATCACCTCTTTTAATTTTTAAGACAAGATCTTCATTCTCTCTCCCAGAGATCCCCTCAGATTTAACCCCTAAACTTTTCTCTTCCTGCACACCTCTGATTAACTCATTTTTACCTCCAAAGGTTCATTTTCTATCCTTGAGAGTTTCTCAAGCTTAACCCCCAAAGCTTTCCTTACCTGCCCAGGGCTGATGGCCTCACATTACCTCTCTCGGGTCGTTCCCTCCCCTACAAATAACATTCAGTTTTACCCCCACACTTTTCCTTCCTCTACATTTCCCATTTTAGCTTTGTTAACCCATAACTGGGGACACAGGGGGGTCCCTTTGATCTCAGGGCCTTGCTCCTGACCCTCTCCAGGGCGGAAGAGCTGCAAATCCCAAGGCAGAAGGAGGGTGATCTGTCAGCCAAAGGCAGACAAACGGCTTCAGAAAAGATTTCTGCAACCTAACTGAGAAGGATTTCCAATCTCCCGGGGAGAAGAGCAGGAACTCACAGCCAACAATACCTGACAGTGCCCTGCAGCCACAGCTCAGCTCACGGACAGACTGGCAATTCCACCATCTAAAAGGAAACAAGACCAAGGAAATGGTGATTTCTTTGGCTTTCAAGTTATTTTCAGTTCTTAAAACAGAAGCAACACTTGCTTTGGAATTGTGTTGGGTGAACAATTGGCAGTGGGCACACGCCAGGGCAATAGTGCTGCTTTCACTGATGCTCTCTGGGGCATCAAGGCTGGAGCCTCTTCCCTGTGGCTGCACACACCCCAAAGATTTGGCAGAACTTCTCCCAGTTCAATGCTTTGTCCTGTCCTGAAAGAGAGCAGAGGGAAATTCAGTGCTCTGTGGAAGTCAAAGGCTCCTGGCTCTCACCCTGCTGTTCCCATGGCTCCCCAGAGGGTTCATCCCCAAACACGAGGGGTAGCAGTGCAATAGCCCAGCAGAGGCCCCCATTTCAGGGGCACCATTTCCCCCCCCGCAGGGGGTCCCACCCGCGGCGCCCCCTCCCCACCCCGGGCCGTGTCCCGCAGTGCCTGCCCCGCAGTCTCCGCCTGGCGGACACGGCCGGTACTGCAGCCCCGACAGCGCCGCCGCCTGCAAAGGACCCCCCGCGCCCCCCGGGGCAGCTCCACAGCCCCCCCTGCCCTCTCTGCCGCACAGCCCCCGCCCCGGGACGCTCCTGAAACAGCAGGGACAGGGCTCAGCCTCGCTGCAGCCACGGGACAAAGCAGCAACCCAAGGGGGACCCCAAAATGATCCCCTCCTCTCCACTGCTGACAACCTCAATCTACCTCCAAAGACTCAGTCTCTACCCACCAGATCATCCCAAGTTTAATCCCCTAAATTTTCCATTCCTGTCCACCCCTGCTCACCTCAATATTTTGCATTCCCTGCCCGGAGAGAATCAAACTCCATTTTAAGCCCCCAAAACTTCCTTACAAACCACACCCTTTCCGGCCCACACCTTTCCTTTTTGAATGGCCCCCAGCCCTGCCCCCGCACGTTCTTTATATGGCGGTAGCCCCGCCCCACACCCCTCTTTTTTCTGGTTATATGCTCCTCGCACCTTCTCATATGTAGCCCCGCCCGCACCTTCTCTTTATGGCGCTGCACGCCCCACACTTTCTTTATGGCGCTAGCCCCGCCCCGCACCTGCTTCCTTTATGGCGCTAGCCCGCCCACGCTTCTCTTTTATGGCGCTAGCTCCCGTCCCGCTTCCTTTTTGGCGCTAGCTCCTCGCGCATCACTTTCCTTTTATGGCGCTAGCCCCGCCCGCACGACTTCCTTTATGGCGCTAGCTCCCGCCCGCACCGTTCCTTTTATGGCGCTTAGCTCCCGCCCTGCACCTTCTCTCTTTTATGGCGCCAGCCTCCCGCCCCACACTCTTCTTCTTTTATGGCGCTTAGCTCCCGCCCAAGCATCCTTTCCTTTATGGCGCTAGCTCCCCGCACCCGCACTTTTTCCTTTTTATGGCGCTAAGCCCTGCCTCAAGCACCTTCCTCTCTTTTATGGCGCTAGCCCGCCTCAGGACCCTCGCCTCGCTTACATGCGAGCCACCGGCATTTTTCTTTTGTGCGGCGCTAGTCCACGCCCACGCTTTCCTTTATGGCGCTAGCCCCGCCTCGCACTTTCCTTTTATGGCGCCAGCCCCTCCCCCGCACTCTCTCTCTTATGGCGCTGGGCCCCGCCCCGCACTCCTTTCCCTTTAAGGCGCCAGCGCTCGCCCCACACCTTCCTCCTTTTTATGGCGCTAGCCCCGCCCTTCTGCACTTTCCTTTATGGCGCTAGCTCCCCTCCCCCTGCTTCCTTATGGCGCTACCCCGCCCGCACTCTTCTTCCTTTTATGGCTAGCCCTCACCCAAGCACTTTTTTTTTTATGGCGCCTAGCCCCGCCCCCACACCCTCCTTTTTAAGGCGCTAGCTCCCGGCCCCGCACCTTCCTTTTAAGGCGCTAGCCCCGCCCCGCACTTTCCTTTTATGGCGCTAGCCCCGCCCCTCAGGCGCTTTTTATGGGGGCAGCCCCGCCCCACATGCGCCTTTTTCGGGCATATCCCCACCCTTCCTTTACCTTTTATGGCCATGGGCACGCCCCGACACTCCTTGTACGGACAAGTCCCTGCCCCTCGGCTCCTTTCATGGCGGCGCCCACCGCCCGTTCACCCCCCCCTCCTTCCAGGCAGGATCGGGCACTCCCGGGTTTCGTCGTGCAGAAAGCCCCGTTCTTTTTGGAACCTCTTGCTCCAGCCTTTTTCCCTGGGCGAAGAGGTGAATTAGTCTTTTGAAGGACCCGATGGCCAGAGGTGGGGGAAAAACTAGCAGCATTCCCTAAACACCTCCAGCACTTCCATATCCATCTGCGACCAGGGCCAACCTGGGCTAGGGGAAGGTGTCCCTGCTCAGGCAGTGGGGCTGCATGAGCTTTAAGGTCCCTTGCAACCCGAACCACTGCAGGATTCCATCACCATTCCACCATTTCACCATCCCAGCCGCCCCGCGCTGTTCCAAGCTCAGCTCACCCTCCCAGAAGCCGCAGGACCGGTCATTCCCCGAGGAACGGGGAGCTCACCACGAGACCCTGCACGGAACGGGCATCGAGTGCTCCCCAGCGAGCTCTGCCACTCCCGGGAGCCGAGCCGAGCCCCGAGCCGCCACCGCAGCCCCCCAGCCCCTCCCGCCGGACCCCGCACAGCTCCGGGTACAGCCGGTCCCGCAGCGTCTTCCCGGAAAACCGGGAGAGAGCTGAAGGAAAACGGCGGGGAAAGGATGGGGAAGGGAGGGACGGGGAGGGGAGCGGGGGGCGGGGGAAAACCCGGACTGGATTTCTCCTGGAGTACGGAATGGGGGAAAACCCGGACTGGATTTTTCCCGTCGTACGGAATGGGGGAAAACCCGGACTGGATTTTTCCCGGAGTACGGAATGGGGGAAAACCCGGACTGGATTTCTCCCGTGGTACGGAATGGGGGAAAGCCCGGACTGGATTTTTCACGGAGTACGGAATGGGGGAAAACCCGGACTGATGCCACTAAGGCCGGCGCCGCCCTGCCCCGCAGTCTCAGAGCGCCACAGCAAAAACGGCGCTGCCGTGATCGGAATGTCTCAAGACCAACACCAAAGATGGCGGCGCGAGGCCCCCACTCCCTCCGCTGTAAAGAGGCGTCTCTCATGCTGCCTGACCTCCACCCCGTCTCCGAGCCCCACCCCGCGCTCGCAGCGCCGTCTCGCCGCGGTGCTTCCCGCTGTGGGGACGGGTCGGGGCGCTCGGGGGACAGGGCAGGGCGCTCGGCGGCGCCGGGCGCGGGCGGCAGGCTCGTGGGAGGCGGCAGGTACCGGTGCGGGCAGCCCCGGCGGTGGCCCGAGGCCCTCGGCGTTGCTCCGCTCCGCTCACGTGACGTCTCTGTCCCGCCCCGATCGGTCCCGCCGGGCCCGGCCGGTGTTGTCGGGATCTCCCCTGGGAGCCGCACGCGGCGGCAGAGACAACTTCAGGCTCTCCAGGAGATCGTCCCCGGGGTAAGCGGGGCCCGGCGGGGCGCCCGTGGGGTGAGGTGAGTCGAGTCAGAGGGACACGTTTCCCTTCTCCTGCCTGTTGGCGTTTGCTCCCTGGGCAAGGGCTCTTTTTCCCACTGCGGGCTGGTCCTTGCCGTGTGTGCTGGGAAGGGTGGAGAGGCAGGGGCTGTAATAAACTATATTTTAAAGAGGATTCTTTTTTTTTGTTGAGCTTAGTAAAACTTCAGGACATTGATATGTGATTTCCGTGTGTATTTCCCACATAGCTGTTAACTGCTTCTAACAAGCTGCTGTTTGTTCCCGAGGCTGATAAGGAAGGGGGGAGGGAAGTCTGGCAGTGTAATTGAACTACACCAGCTAGGGACAATGAGAAGCTTCCTCTAAACAAGGAGTCAAAGTGATTTATATAAGACTGGAAGGGGAGGAAAAATACGTATTAAAGGCGCATGCTCCAAGCCGGGTTCATCTTGCGGACATCGAGGAAGACTAAAAATCTTCATCACAGAGACCCCGGCCCACAAAGAAACCCCCAGACCACGGACGCCGGTAACACAGCCCAGGAACATGCATGGGGAAAACTTTGCAACTGAGCATGTGCAAAAAGCACATGCCCCGGACTATGTATGGATAAGAACCTATGTACTGAGCATGTCTGGACGGGAACCCGGAGGGTTCAAAAGGGGAAGTTGGAGAGCTTGGGGGGGGCGGCGGCGAGCTGTGAGAGAACTTTCTTTTGTTCTAAACAGCCCCCCCCTCCCTGCGTGTGGCGATTGTCTATCTACCGCTTATTAATAAATTTGCTTGCTACTGTAAATTGGCTTCTTCAATTCCTTTAAGGCATTGCTGGTAACTTATACAGGGGCGAAGGGCCGGGTGACGGTGGGGTCCCAGAGCTGTGGGGTTGGGCTGTGCTGAGAGGGGCGGGCGGGTCCCCGTGGGTGAGCCTGAGCATTGGTTTGGGGGTTCAGGAGCCCGGGGGGTGTTTGCAGCTCTGCCAGGGCTGAAGCTGGGCTGGGCCGTGGAACAGACACAGGGGAGCTAGGGGAGGGTTTGGGACTCCCTGCAGGGAAAGGGGGGCTGGATGGGCTGGATGGAGCCATGGGCTCGTGCTCGTGGGCAGACGCTTGTCCAGGGCGCTGGGATCCGCTCAAACTCCAGTTGCCCTCGTGCCCAGGGATGCAGGGTCTGAGGGATTGGATTTCCCTGTGGCTTTGCAGGAGAGCAGGGATGAGAGGAAAGGCGGTGCCAGAGCTGTGTCCCACCGGGCTGTGTTTCCCTCAGAGGACAGAGAGCCTGTGGGCTGAGGTGAGATTGCTGTGAGTGTTGGCATGAGCATGCCAGGGAAGGGGGAGCTCGGAATGCCAGGAGCTGATGGAACCATTGCCTTGGGTGTGTTTAGTTTGTGTCTCTGGGAGCTGGGACTCGGGCTGGAGAGCTGTGGTTGGGAACAGAGGGTGGAGCAAACCTGCTCCGTGGATTCGTAAGGAAGGACAACCCGGGTGTGGGATGGAGCAGCGAGGGGGAGGTGGTTGGAGTTGGCCTGGGCTGGTCAGGATCAGCCACAAACAACCCACCAGACTCCTGAACCCTCCGTGGACATGTCCAGCCCAGCAGCAGAAACCCAAGTCATTAATTTTCAGCAGAGGAAAAATTCTTGGTACTGGCTTATGATCTGTGGAGAATTTCCTTTGGAATGATCAAGCAGAGAGTATATCAGTGCAAAGCATCTCTTTTGGTCTTTTTTTTTTTTTTTTTTTTTTGGTTTGTAATTTCCTCTCTGGCTTCAATAAGTTTTGTGTGCTCCTGTTATGGAAGCAGCGTGTTTTTTATCTTGAAATTTGGGGTGCTTTGGCTTGTTTAGGGTTTTTTTTCCACACTGATTCAGGCCTTCTGTGCATAATCCACGTTGTCCTACAGGACTGCTTTGGTTCTGAGTCAGAGAGAGAGAAGGGAAGTGGCTTTTCCTCCTCTGGAATGTTTCCAAGCAGAAGTGGGACATCGTCCTGTCCCTCCCCAAAGCTCTGCAGGCACATAGGAGTAGCTCAGGGCTGGCCCAGTTCTCTGAGACAGAACCATGGGGGAGAGGTTTAAGTATTAATAACATCTCTACTGTCACTTGGTTGCAAAGATTGGGTCCTGTAGTCCCAGAGTGTTAAGGAAAACAAGGAACTCCTGTTCTTCCTGGCAAACCTTCTCTTAAATGCTTGTGCAGTCTTTGAGTTCTGTTGTCTGATTTGCTGTCCAAGATCTTTCTAAGAGAAAGCGGGCCACCTGAGGCTCCGCTCGCCCCTGCGGGGTCCCAGGGTGTCACTGACAGGGGGGAAAACCAGATCCAGCAGCAGCCAAAAAAATCACATGGCTCTTTTTACCTGGTCTCCAGACGCTCTTGCTAGAGCTCCCAGCAGCTGTTTCCGTTCCCAAACAGGCCAGGCAGTGCTATGGAAGACACTCACGACATCCAGGAGGGTGAGGAGGCGCTTTTGGACATGATCTTTGCCCTGGAATCAGATGCCAGAGTCCAAATGGTCTTTACCGTCCCTTTTAACCCAAACCAGCCTGTGATTCCATGAGGTGATCAGCACCTCTTCCAAGTCGCTCCCAGAAACATCCTCCCCTAACCCAGAACATCACCCCTCATCTTTCTGGCACCACATCAGGGATGTGCTGCTGGATGCCACAGGCACAGGAAGCCTCAGCATTCCCTGGGGATGGTGTTCCAAGCTGAACTAATGGCTTCAGCGCTCCCTCAGCCCCAATTCCAGTCAGGAATGTCTCAAAGAGCAGCACGGCGTGTTCCCCCCTGCACCTCACCACTGGCACAGCTCAGATAGGATGGGACTGACTTACTGTGTTTGGGATTTCTTGTCTAAAAAGCAGGCATGGGAATGTCCTCTCCTGGGAAGATCCAGAACAGCAGGAGGGTCCCTGGAAGCCACAGGTCAGGGCAGAGTCAGACAAACCCTCCTGAACTGGTTTTCCAAGGGATGCAACGACTCCAAAGCTCTTGCTTCCTCTTGGGACAGCCAGGCAAAACATCCCCATGGGTTTTGGGCAGGAAAAACCTCACAGCTCCAGCTTACTTGGCTCTTCCCAAATCTACACCAGCATTCCAACAGGCTCTAAGGTAGAAGTAACAGGAAAGACCACCTCAGGGTGCAAACCACGAGCTGGACACTGCAGTCCTCCCTGGAACTGGGCTGCTCCTGTGTCTCTGCCACTGTCGGGACCGTCCCCCTTCCCCCACTCTTCCATGCAGGAGAAAAGAGACCACACCCCCCCCAACACCCAGGATATTTGTCCAATGCAATCCAAACAATCCCAGAAAACCCCCCGCACTCTAGGAACCAACAACATGCCCAGCCTTGGCCAAGAGTGGGTAAAAAAGAAGCAGCAGCACTGGAAAAATTTCCAGGCGTGGAGCCTCCCAGCTCCTGAAATGCAGCTTCTTCCCAGGGAAACCCCAAACCTGACCCTGACTAGGCCCAGGGAGAAAAACCCTCCCAGTGTCACCAGCCTGGCATGGAGCGAATTCCACGGGAGGTTCCCCAGGGACATCTCTGCCAATGGTAGGGGCTGGGAGGAGATGATCCATAAGGCCCCTTCCACCCCACACCATTCCAGGAGTTTAAGGCTGATTGGAGCTTCTTCTCAGCTCCCAATTCCTTCCTAAGCCTCACCCTCTGGGTTGCCTTTCCCGTCCTTTGCTGGGAAGTGACTCCTCTCCCAAAATGCCCAGAGCAAGGGAACTAGAGGAGTCCTGGATCTTCCTTTGGCATTCAATGAACTGGCACAGCTCAATGATGCCATTAAATTCTCCATCTCCCAAAGCCAGGTTCTCCTTTGCTGTGGGGTTTTTGTCTGTCCCATAGTCCGGAGGGACCTCTGGCAGCTGCACTGCCCAAGAACTGCCGTGGGACAGCTGGGAAACTTCCCACCATTGGGAGAGAGGCAGAAATAAAGTAATTCAGGGCACTACCTCAAAATATTGGGGGGAAAACCCCATAACATTCCATCACCTCCCTTTTTAAACAAACACCAAATGGCTTAAATACAACCAATAAACTATACCCTACAACTATTCAGCACTTTCAGTGTAACCAGTGCAAGTCAGTTGGTAAATTACACAATGTTAACTTTTCTTTTAAAGTTTCGAGTATGATACAAAAATTAGTGAGAGAAGATGTTCCCCCTACGGTTTTACCAGTGCTGCAACACCTCAGGCTCCCAAAAAGGCCCAGGGGATGTGCTGGTGCTTTTGGCTGCCCTGGAGCACAGGTAGAAGGAACACGATGCCTCCACCCCCGCGGGCACGGCTGAGAACTCAAAGAGCAGCGACGTCCTTGGCTCCCGCAAGCCCTGATGTGCTGGTGCCTGGGCAGGAAGGGCAGTGGCTTTTCTTACTTCATTCGGTGTCGGAGCGAAAAGCCTCGTTGCTGATGACTTCGACTGCCGAGTACATCAGCTCTGAAGATCTGCTCTGCTGGGAGGTTCATTAACCTCATCTTCTTGGAGCGGGAGCGGTTCCGGTTCCCACGCACCCCTTTCCCGCTGCTCCCGCACCACGCCGAGGAGGAGCCGGCGCGGGGACATCCCTGCGCATGCGCGGAGCCACCTCCCGCACGCGGAGCTGCGGGAGCCGCGCCCGAGGTTCGGGACCTGCTCGGGATCGGGAATCGGCACCGCCCAGGTGGGTCCGTGCCCGGAACCGCGGCGTTCCCGGTACTGAAGGGAACTAACTGGGGGAAATGCGGGAGCGGGGAGCGCCCACGGCAGGTGCGGGAACGGGCACTGGCCCGGGCCCGACTCTAAACCACGGACGCGGCAGGGGAAAGGATCTTTTTTTCCAGACTCACTTGTGTAAAACCATGTCGATGATATTTCGAAGTTGGGAGAGCAAAAAGAAAAACCTCTGCTTCCATGGAAACTGAGCAGTGCATCCTCCAAGCTCCTAAGCAACTCCGGGAGTATGGGCTGGGAGGCCTCTGCATCCCAGATCTCACTGGCAGTGGTGTGAGCAGCACGAAAGCAGTGCTCCCCTGCCAGAATTTCATGAAATTCATTAAAGGAGCAAACCTAGTGCTTACCTCCCTGCTCTGTGCCTCACACAGTGGCCAGTACAGAGAAAGATGCCGTGGCAGCAAGAAGTAATGTCTGGAAAACACATGGGATGTGAAAGACCTCAGCAAAGGTGCTGGTGTGCCCTGACACCCCTTTGTAGCTTGGCCACCGTTCATGAACACGTGGCTGTCCCGGCGTCTGTACAGCCCAGTACGGCTGTCCCAGCCCCTGTGCAGCCCAGCACAGTGTGCCAGCCCATCCATCCCCTGCAGCAGGGCCCTGCCCAAGGGACTCTGAGTTTATTTCTGAAGGAGGACTGGCACAGGCAGTGTTTCACCCGCCTCATCTGCTCTGCCGACCTGCTGGGGACTCACCCTGATTCCCACCTGCCCCTCTCCAGCAGGCACCGGCTGTGGGCAAAGCGGAGAAGGGGGATCTGCCCTTCCCAAGCACTGCCATGGAGCAGAGCTGGCTTGTGGTGGTCGAGGCTGCCCAGTTTAGAGACCTCAGTGACCATGTTCCAGGTGGGATTTGTAGGCTTTCCTGTGGGCCAGAAGGCAAGGGCAGCAGGCTGCTGTGTGCTGTATCCTCCTTGCTCTGAGGATCCAGCCACAGAGTTCATTAGGGAGGGAGTGTTGCTATCTAAAGCTTTTTTTAAAAAAGTACAGGGAATATAAACCTGTGAGAATGTTACAGTGAGACTGAAAATTTAGACTCAGAGGCCACATCCAGGATAGAAGAAATTCTGTTAGAGGA